AGAATAGCAGTATGTAGATAGAAGCTGACAGGTGAACAGGGTAGTGGAATTGAACATAAATGTAGAAGCACACATTTCTTCATTTTACATAGCACATAACAAGTAGTAGAAACTCAAGAGAAAAGACTAAGGCTGATAAATCAATAAAAAGGAGATTACAGACATCTTTTTAGGAAGCATTGAACATGCCCCCCAGAAATACCTGTAGATACATATCCATTTCAAAATAAAACAAACATAAAATAGTTAAACTTTCTTGCTGCCCATCATGCTAAAAAGTTTGCTATTAGGGAAATATCACATACATACAGAGATATCAATCAATATTTTAGGGTCCCATTTCTTCAGATGAACAGAAAGCAAAGAATGTCCTTAAAGCCCCACATTTTAATTAATATTTTCAGAGACAGAAAAAAATGATAATTGTTTTAATAAAAAAACACAAGATACTACTTAAAAGTAACATATAGAATAAGAACAAGCTGCTGGAAATTAAAATGTGATAAATAGATTTTAAACTTCGATAAAAATCTTAAAATACAAAGTCAAAAAAATCTCCCAGAAAGTAGAACACACACACACACACACACACACACATACAGAAAGTAGGACAGAAATAAAAGTTATAAAAATATTTTACTAACAGGGGTTCCAGGTGGGTGGAAAGCACAAATAAAACAAAAAAAATAAAAACAAAAAAAAAAACCAAAATTTCTAAAATTTTTTCCTGTTCTAAAGCATGTGAATTTCCATATCCAAAAGTCCCAACATGTACCCAGGTCAACACATGAAAAATATTCTAAAGCAAAACCATAGAGATAAAGAGAAGATGCTAAAATGTCTCAGAATGACAAAGGGGGAAAAAAAAAGAACATTGTATCAAAGACTGGAATATCATAGATTATTCCCTAGCAAAACTAGGAGGCACCTAGCAATGGAAAAATACTGTCAAAATTCTGAGAGAACCCAAACTTCTATATACAAGCAATCTATCAATTAACTGTGAGGGTAGGAAAAAAAAGATATTTTATGACATTTAAGGTCTCAGAAATTTATTACTGGGACATCCTTCCTAAGCACCTTCTGAAGAATCTGTTTCAACAAAAATTAGAAAATAAACTAAAACAGACAGGGACTTGGCATCAAAGTAATAAAGAGACCAGCAAAGGAAAGACCTAAGATTTTAAAGTAAACAGCTCATTTCAGAACCACTGAATAAAGAGCCTGGGAAGGAAATCTCCAGAAGAGGTGGTGGGAGGTGTGTGGAACTGAGACAGCATATGACATGTCTCAGCACTAGGAAATATACTGCTAGACCAAGGCAAATCCATGAGGGCTCATAGCAATGGGAACGTAGACTAAACCAGAAAACAAGATAATTTATTAATATCATAAAAATTCAACATTTGTAAGGAAATATACTCATAGGTCACTGCTTGACTTACCTTACTTAGCTTAGCAACAATCAGAATAGTTATGGAGATGCTTAGTCATAATAATGTAAACACTGAATACTAATTTAACCAAGAAGGAGGATGTAGCTACACCGTAAGGAAAGATGTCAAAGACTGAAACTTTAGTCTCTCTTAATAGTATGTTGATACATAATGTTTAAAAATAATAAATATACATAGAATGAGATTATTTGGAAATATGTAGACAAATATCAGGAGAAAGAGCTAAAGGAGTTGAAAGAGATTATTGGGGAGAGAGAGAGAATAAAACCAAGAGATGAGATTAAATGGGTCAGAATACTCAAGTTTTCATTATAAATCTTTTTGGAGTATTTGATTTTTTTTAATTACTTGCTTGTATTACTTTAATAAAATAGTAAATTATTAAAAATAAAGTTGAATAAATAATATAGGCTTAGATACATTACTGGAAACCATGTAGAAAAGTAATCAATAAAAGAAAAAAATTAAATGAGACTGACCAAAAGAGGGAAAGAGGAGAAGGAGAGTGGAAGCTAGATTGCTTATTTTGTAGCAGAAAATCAAAATATAAGGCTTAGAGATAAAAAAAAAAGTCTAATGATATACTGTGTGTATCTCCTTTTGAGTGATTAGGCTAATCAGTCAGCAGAAAAACTCAAAACAGTAGGCACAGAAAGAGAATAATTTTATTTTTACTTTTTATCAAGCTCTTTGTAAGGTTTTGTAGGGTAAGTGGAGGCAGTAGGCTTCCTCTCCCAGGCGCTTGGGTAACTAGGGGGAGCAGCCTCTCACAACCTTGCAGGAGTCTGATAAAGCAGTGTTCCTACGGCCTTGAGCCTGGGTGCGATAAACTGCCCCGTAGCCTTGAGGAGGCTCGCAGGCGCCGCTCATGCTAGGTTACCTCACTTTCTGACCTGCAGCCGGCTTTCTTTGTGCTAGTACTTAAGGAGGTAGGGGGGAGAGAGAGAGAGAGAAAGAGAGAGAGAGAGAGAGAGAGAGAGACCAACATAAGCATGGGCTTGTGGCCTGTGTGACTGCCAAATAAAGGCATGTCAAGCATCCCCACGGCTCCATGCATCTTCTTCCATCTACCTGAGTCTCGAGTGGACCCGCCCAGCCTAGGGAGGCTGCAACACAGGTCTGAATTCTTTTTTTCACATACATGTATGGGAGGGGGACCCAAAAACCCAGAATTTATTTATAAAAAAAATTGTGTATTTATCCTTACATGTTTAAACTTCAGTCACCTTCAAAGTACTCTCCATTTGGTACAATACACTTATCGAGATGTTTTTTCCACTGCTCAATACAGCTTCTAAACTCATCAATTTTGATGCCCTTTAGTGCTTCTTCCGTTTTTTGTTTCACCTCTTCAGCATTAGCAAAACGTTTCCTTTTGAGGACTTTTTTCATCCAGGGAAAGAAAAAAAGTCACTTGGGGGGAGATCAGGTGAATAAGGAGGGTGAGGCATGGTGGGTCATGCTGTTTTGGGTAAAAACTGTTGAACAACTCAGCGTGTTGTAGGTAGGTAGTCTGATAAATCACCCATCCGGAAATGGGCAAACATGTTGAGAGTCTTCAAAAACAATTCACTGAAACCAAATGCAGCCTCTCACAGCACCACCAGGTGGTACACTGGTGCAGATGGGTTGCTAGAGCACTCACTGAGCAAGGGAAGCCTGTGCTACAAAGGGCTCACTCCCCAGAAGATAATTCTGGGTTTTTTAGAGGGTCCCTCCTCATATTACCTCCATAATTATAATTATTGGTAGTTAATTGAGAATTAACAAAAAAATTGTCAGACAAGTCGTATCTCCAGACTTCTCCAGCCCCAGAGTCTGAGGTGAAGGAAATACAGAAAGACTCATATTTCAAAGATTCCCCCAAATCTTCTCTACAGCACGGTGCCTAAACTTAGTGGATGACCCTTTGTTTATTTGAGTCCATTCATGAATTTTTGGATATAAAGCCCTGAGACTATAGAAAGATAGAGAGCTAAAAATGCTCTCCCTAATAAAGGAACGTGGGTTTCTGGGGCAGTGGGAGCACGAACGAATTGATGGGTGTGGAGGAGAGATTTGAGCCAGGAAAATGGCAGACCAGACAAGCCCGACAGGGTTACGCAAAGAAAGTCAGCCACCAGACATTCCTGGTGGCAGTGGAAGGCAATGAATCTTTTTTTTTTAATAGTTTATTTTTATTGCATTTTTTTCTCTTTACAATTTATCTCACTTATATCCTCTTCCACCTGCATCTACCCATCCCCTCCCCCCGCCAATCACCATACTATTGTTTTAAGATCACAGTTACATAACATCCAGTGTGAAAGTCCAATCCTCCTGTAGCCAGCCTTTTGCCCTTCTGTTAACTCTAAAGCCTTAGTACAAGTCAGTGATGCAGCTTTCTCGTGGGACTGCTATTTTGCTGAAATCAAGGAAAAGAGGCAGTGTTCTCTATTATTGATCAAGATGCAGCGAAAAACCAGTCATCGTAGGTAAGCATGAGTGAGAATGAGATTTCAGAGGAGGCAAAAAATTGGAAGAAATGGTGACTGTCAGAAATATAAGGCTCCCAAGAGTGTCCAAAGATATAAGAGGGACTCATGACGTAAGCTCTGCCAAGCCCCTCGCATCCCTTTATCATTTCTGTGCACTCATCAGCAGGCTTCTCTGTGCTTCGGTGTCTAACGGTCATACCTTCTCCTCCCCTGGCAGGTCCCCCCTCGCTGTGAGAGCCTTGCCCTCACACAGGGAGAGCTGGATGCCCTGGGTGCTTCTGTGCCCCCATAGTGGCCCTCCCCCAATAACTGACTGGTAAAGCAGAATGAACACCCAGTTCCTTTGCCTGGAATTGGGACAAAATTTAAACAGCTTTATAGTCCAGAGTTCCCTTTGGGAGAAGACTAAGCCACTCTCGCAGGACTTTGCCTGATCTCCCTGCTAGGCTGCTACTCTGTCCTGTTCTGCTCACCCTACCCCCTTTCCCATTTCTCTTGGAGCACTTCCTTAATAAAATATTTGTACATGGATCTTCTCAATGTCTGCTTCTGGGGAATCTGGTTTAAGAGAGACACAAAAGCCATTTTAATTCTAAATATTCTAAATATTTAGAAAGCAATTAGATTGAATTGGAAAGTGGACATGCACATGAAGAACGTTTGGGTTGCACATAGATCAGGCTTTCAAAGAATTTCAAGCTGCTTATTATTGGATGGAAGGAAAGTTGAGCAAAAAACAAGTGTACCTTAAATATAAAGTGGAAGCGAGAAGTTGTTCCAGACAAATACTGGTGATCAAATAAGGAGAGAAAGGAGAAGACTTGGAGGAAGACGTGATATTTAACCTGAACATTGAAAGATGAATAAGCAGTGAAGATGTAGAGTAAAGACACCTCGGACAAGGCACAAATATGTATTCTCAAGGACCACATATACACTGAAATATGGTAAAATAGAAAAGAACATTAATTAGAGAAGTATTAGGAAATGATTTATATAGGATCCTAATATTTCATTACACAGGAATCAAAATGGAAAAAAAGACACTGGATTTTTGACAGGTGATTATTTATTTCTGAAATCCCACCAAACCCAGGAAAGCAGAAGCTTAATCTGAGCTAAGATATAGATTATCAATAATTCCACATTATCAGCATCACTGAGTCTCCTAACACAAGCACTTTTTTTTTCAGCAGATAATAGTATTTAAGATACAGTAGAGTTGCTAATAAAAGAAATGTACTTAATACTTTATTTGGTGGGGCCAGGAAGAGGAGGGAGGCTGTGGAATAAGTGAGGGAAACTGGATGCAATGATTTCTAACTGATGTTCCTCTTCGAGTCTTACTCTTGTTTGAGTCGTCTAATCTCCAGAGACAGTTTATACACCTCCAAGGCCATTTTTACCTCTTCTGGTCTTGGGAGACACTGCAAGAGTTTGCTGCCTTCTACCACTTGCTCACAGCCATTACGGACTTCCTAAAAGAGATAAAAGGATGGATTTTGAGAGGCTTCTCTCCAAACTGTAAAGGTTGATGATTCCTTCAGGATGCCTCACTGATGACAGCAAAATTGGAGTATCAAGACCCAGGGCTGATAGAAGAAATCCAAGATACTTTGTGTCTCAGCAAATTGTTCACCCTAGGGTCCATACCAATGTGCTTCCAAAGACACACAGGGGTCCTCTTCAGGGAAAGCTGAAGGGAAGTTTTGGTGGCTATACAAAAGCATAGCACTTATGGTAGAAAGTCCAGGGATGGGGCCAGGTTAACTGGATCTTTGGAAATCTCCCCTCTTATCTAGAGGCTTTGTTCTTCTTGTTATTAAGTGAGAGGATGAGAACTGGCCTTAATGAACACACCAAGTTCTTTGGGGATGAGATTGCTGATTCCAAAGTGATTTAAACAACTCAGAAGTGAGTCCTGACAAAAGTCAGATCGCATCAGCATTGGTTGGGACAATGCTTTGGAGCAGGCTACCATTTTTAGAATGTGATATGACGCCTTGAAATGTGTGCCACTTACCCACTCACACGTAGGCACCTCTGGGTGCCAGGTTCTGTTTTCTGAGCAGGTGATACTTTGATTGCTGACAAGACCATAGCCATTGTCACACTGGATAGTGACATTTTCAAGCTCAACATAGAGAGTCTTATCCACAGACAAATTTCCATTTTCTATCTCAGGTTTCAGACACAGAGCTGTTATGGAAACACAATTTTGATCATCCTGTGATTCTCAGATTAAGATCTTACAATAGTAGAGGATACTGAAGGGTGAAAAACACCCATGATAAATTATGTCTGCATGATTAAAGTTGTTCTTTACCTCTATTTATTGTTATTGTGACAATAAAATTAATAATAATAATTTACATACTACTATCAACATAAAACACTATTACCTACATTTTTGCTAGAGAGAAAAACTAGGTACAGGTAGTTTATGTGACTTGACTAAGATTTAATAGCTTTTAGGTGGCATAATTATGATGTAAACCTAAGTATTGTGGTCCTAGAATCTGAGTTTTCCAAGCTACTATATCTCAAAAACTTACTCTTTTCATAATTCTAAGTATGTAATTTTAAATCTCATACCCTTAACATCTTCCTATATTAAATGGAGACAATGGGGAGAAATAAGCTCCTTGAGTTGCTGTTTACAGTGTGATTTTTTTAAAAAAGTCAAACTCCACCTTAGTGGTCAACCAGAAATCTTTTATCAGGTCAACTTCATTATGAGAAGATGGTTGCAGAAGCAGAAGCGTACACACATGGACCCTTGAAATATGACAAAGATAGCACTGCAGAGGAGTGTGGAAACCATGGTCCATTTAATCAGTGGTACAAGGTTCCACTGGTTATTCATTGGGGAAAAACAAATGTTGACCTCTACTTCCTACCATGAACCCAAAGAAATTCCAAGTGCACTGAGTATATCAATGTGAAAGGTAAAACAATAGAGATCTGGGAGATAACATAGGTGAATATATTTTTGTGACCTTGTTGTAGGCAAATATTTCTTAAACTGAACACAAAAAGCTCCAATGTTGATAAAAAGATTGATAAATTGAACTAAATTGGAATGTAGAACTTCTGTTTATCAAAACTAGAACACTCATACATTACTGGTGGAAATGTAAATTGTTGCTGCCACTTATGAACAAAATTTAGTATCATCTACTAAATGGATATGTGCATACTCTATAAAACAGTAATTTGACCCCTATGTTTACTCCCAACAGAAATGTTGACACATTTGTTCCAAGAAATATGCACAAGAATATACATTAAGAGCATTATTCATAATAGCCTAAAACATTAAAAAATTCAAAATTTTATAAGATACATAAAATATGGTATAGTTATCCAAAAGAGTATTATACAGTATTATACATGAATAAACTATCAATACATGTAAGAACATAGATGATTTTCTAAAACATAATGTTAAGGAAAGATGCCAGGCACAATAGAGTACATACATGATTTTTTTTTTTTTATAGAAAGTTAAAAGGTTAGCAAATTAACCTATGGTGTTGGAATAGAGACCTCCTCTGAGGGGTAAATGGGAGAAGACGTGTGGAACATTTTTAGGGTGTTGGTAATTTTTGGGCTTCTTGACCTGGGTGATAGTTTCATGGGTCAACTCACTTTATGATAATCATTGACCTGTACACCTAAGATTTGTGCATTTGTGCAGTGTTATATTTAAATTGAAACTTTTATTAAAACCAACAAAGAGTGGCCCTACAGATTACCTCTGAAAACATACATGTTGGTAAGAGTGGGATTAACTGCGTGATGGTTCACACCTTAAAAAGATTCTATTGTATGCATGTATTAACATTAACTACATGAAATGAATAAACAAATAAAATACAAATTTCTAAGTGATGCTTCTGGCTGGGAGGAGACTCTACTTTCATGGTGGTTCTATCTTCTTAGCAGGAGCCATCAGTAAAGTTAGTTACCTTTACATTCAGGAGCTGGAGATGACCATTGTGATTTTCTGCAGGTGATTTTGGGGTTTCCTACCAGAATATATCCTTCATCACACTCATAGTGCACCGCAGTCGTAAAGGAAAAATATGAACTCACGTCGTGATGGGATCCATGGGCAATGCTAGGAGGGTTACTGCAATCTTGAATGGTAAAAGAAAAAGGTGGAAGAGAATGAGCTAGAGTTTAATTTAATTAACAATTCAGACTGAGGGACTCCTCTCATTTAATAAAACTAAGTCATTAAATTATAATGCTGAGGTGTATTTCATTTCCTTGACAAAATCATTAGAAAGGATTTGTTAAATTCTTCACCATCGTGTTAATAATTTTATATATATTATACCGTTTAACCCTCACACTCATGCTTTGAGGCAGTATTATCGTAATGCCCATTCTAGAGAAAAGGAAACACAACATTAAGCGGGTAAAATATTCTACATAAGTGCCAGTGACATGAATAAAACTTAACGATTAAAACAATGTTCTTCTTGGTACTTGCATTTTCAGGTAATACCCCATAATTAAAGAAGTAGGTGGCTCAGAACCAGTTTAAGTTAAATTTTTAAAAGAGAAATAGTTGGGGAAGTATTTTTATAAAGCTTTTGATATCCTGTGAACACCGCCCTTGCCCCAGACTGAGCTGATATGTGAGTGCATCTCTCCCTCACATTGAGAGAGGAGCTGTGAGAAAGCCTGATATGTCTCCTTTCAGTCTGGAGGGAACACTAGACATGATGTCTCGTGGCTCTGAGGATGAGAACAAAGAAGGACAGATCACTGGTGCTTTGAGAATGGTCTGTATTCCTGACATTATTCAGAACAGAGGATGAGTACTTCCCGCGTAGTAGAGCTGGGCTGCATTGAGAAAGACAGCCACGGTGGAGTTGTCTTCAGGCCTGTCCAAAGGACCACCTAAGATGAGAGGAAGGCCTCAGTATTTAAAAAAAAATTCAACCTGCTCGCCCACATAAGAGCATTCAGCTATTATTTTAGAGTCGGGATTTTCCCCTCTAAACTATTCCAAATCCTACATTTTTATGCCATAATAGCTGTTTTCAGAAACTATGCATGTAAATTATTATGAAAATTAGTTCTCTTATGTAAAAAAAGTTAGCTAGCACAAGAGAAAAATAGTTTGCTAAAAGGACATTTCCATTAAAAAAAACTATAACAACAAATTAATTTCCGTAACAACAGATCTTCAACCAGTTCTAGTAAGTTCTCCCGAATGCTTTTATTTTCTCTTTTGTTTGTAAATTTTTTTCTACATTTCAATAGCAATGCCTTACGTTTATATAATGGCTTATAGTTTTTGAAGTGCCCTATATTTTGCTCTAGGAAATTTACTGTTTGTGACGACAGACAATATTTTTGCTTTACTGGTGGAGTTTTTTCCCCCAATCACTAACTAAGACTGTAAATGACATAATTAACCTATTTGGAAAGTAAATGTGTTTGAAGCATTTTGGAGCATTTAAATGTAAGAAATTGATTTGAAAATTAGAAATTATTTCATGATAAATCAACCTCACAAGGATTTTTACATATCAACACAATTATTCTAGACATAGTAACAGCCTCTATCTTGAACTTCTTTTCTATTTTAAAATTTTCATTTTTATTAATAACATAGTTCATTGTACTCTTTCAAAAAGGTTATACATCTCACACCTGTCATAATGACTATCATCAATAAATCAACAAACAAGTACTGGCAAAGATGTGGAGAAAAGTGCCCTTTGCACTGTTGGTAGGGAATACTACTTGGCCATAAAAAAGAAGAAAATGTTACCTTTTGTGACAGTATGGACTGATCTAGATAACATTATGCTGAGTGAAATAAGCCAGGCAGAGAAACACAAATACCATATGATTTTACTCCTATGTGGAATCTAATGAACAAACTGAACTAATAAGGAAAATGGGGACAGATTCATAAACAGAGAGCAGGATGACAGCTGAGGGTGGGAGAAGGTAAAGGGGTGGAGGGACTGAGCCAAAAGGAAAAAGGACTTATAAGCATTGACAACAGTGTGGTGACTAAAGGGGAAGAGGGGTCTAAGGGAACTAAATGGCAATGGAAAAAATACAATAAAAAAATTTAAAAAGTAAACAGAAAAAGTTATATATTACCAGCATTTGACTACATTTGATGAATTCAAATTTGATGAATTTGATTGGTATCTTTCTCTATATCTTAGAGGAACTACCTCCTTTCCTCCATAACCACCGTACTCACCACACAGGCCAGAGGGGCACAACAGCGAAGTCAAGAAGCCAAGGAGGCACAGTGGTGGAAGAACGCTCTGCAACTTGTGGGGCATGCTGGAGAGTCTCAGAGGTGCCACACAGAGGCTCAGCATTCTCAAACACCTTGAATCAAGATGAAGAAAAGTTCTCTAACCGTTGAACCTATTCCTAAGCCAAGCAACTCTGCCTTGGCAAAGTCCCAGCACTGTGTCACTAAAGGGGAGAGGCAGTGGGAGTGGCTAGAAGACCAGGTGTTAAGCACAGATCTGTCAGGCCAAGCTGAAAAGGTTCTCTTCTTGATAAGAAAAGTCGTGGGCCCTCTGGGATTCTATACATATTTACTATTGTAAACCCACATGTAATTAGTTTCTTTCTGACATATGAACAGCAACAAAGACATGGTTCCTCTCTGAGTAAACGAAGTCAAAAGGTACAAGGATCGCAGGGCCTGATGCACAGGATACGCAGTAGGTCTCCAGGAATTACAAACCATAGCATGAAAGAAAATAAAATGTCTGAAAAACAGCACTTGTCCAGGAAATGTAGAAAATTAATGTAGAAAATTAAAATAAATGTAGAAAGTTAAATTTCTTTTTAGATAGCCTATGGTCTAGCCAGAACAGACTAATGTGAATCTGTAAGTGTGAAAATTCTCAAATATCCAGTCCAAACAATAATTCTTATAATACTTCAGTGAGAACTTCTTTACTCTACTTTCCGAGTTTGCTGATGTACATAAAACACTAAATGATTCACTCTACGAAACTACTCTAGTGTGGGAACTATTCTTATCTGTATTTTTACAGAAAAAGCATACACTGAAAGTTAAATGTTTGGGGGTGATGAATTAAGAAGAAAGAAAGATTGTGTATGACATTTCAAATATCTGGATGATGCTAAGTGACAAATGAATGGAAAGCACATTTCTTCTTCATGAATTGTTAACCCCAAGACTAAGTTTCTCTTAACTATCTGAGACTACCTGGCTGTTCATCCACATCATTTCCCAAATTGTCTCCTTAAGTGAGACAGATGAAACTACCAACCCGAATTCTATATCTTGCCCACCAAGTGTGGATTTCTGTGTTTAGATAGTTGTTTAAAACAAACGAGTAAGCTGCGGAAGTTGTCCTAACATGATCTTCATTACTCAGTTGATCTGGAATGACTGCTACATACCAATAATAACCAAAATACTTATCTCTCAAAAGCAAATAAGAATTACCAAATACAACCAACTGAAATTCTTTGGAATATTGAGGAAAGCACAATTAAATTTCAACTTTCTAGAGAGAAAGGAAAACATATCCACTAAATGGTTACTTCCTTTAGAAAGAGGAACCACAGTAAGGGAAGTAATTTAGGTGGTTAACCAGAAACCTTCTTTTAGTCTTTCATCATGTCGTGTAGCAGAACTTTATGTAAACTGTCATAATTAATCTTCAAAACACCCTGTGGCATAGCTCCTACGATCCTTGTTGCATATATGAGGAAACATGTTTATATGGACTAAGTGAGCTGCCCTCAAACCTCTCAGATAATTAGCAGCAAAAGGCAAATTCTGAACCCAAGACTGATTTTAAAACTCAAGCTTTTTCTTCATAACAAAATAATTTCCACTTTTTAGCCAATATTAGCTTCCTGTCAGGATACTAAACCAGCCATTTGTGTGTAAACCAACACTGTTGGGCTTTACCTGATGGTATGTCCACCTGCAGATACTTCTGGTGCTACTGTTAATGGCATAGACCTGTGATCTTCTCCAGAGAATGCGCTGAAATGGCAGGACCCTCCTCATCTTAATGTGCGTGGGAAGTTATACCCTGTCCCACAGAGTGACCAGTACACTACTAATGTTGGGATAGAAGAGCCCTAATCCCTCACCTCAAATCTGGACAATTCTGTCATACAGTTTACACTCTAGAGTTCACTATGGATCAGTGAAGCCTACACTAGCTTGTTCAGCTTTTTGCTCCTCTGCCATGCTATTTCATTCCCTTACAGGGTCCCCCTCCCCTAAAGAGCACACCATCAAACATTTACACACATCTGAATCCCTTCTGGAAAAACTGATTGAAGACCACAAGTGGACCTAGAAAGCAAACTCTAAGAATAGGCTTACAGGATTGGATCACCCACCAGTCAGCTGGCAATCATGACTCCATCACTGGTAGTAGATAAAGTATTGACAGTTCTGGCTTGCTATAGCATTGCACCTATGGACATTTTCACCTGGTAAGCTGTCATGGGACGTAGATGCAAGGAGATGCATTGGCTTTTTTAATATCTCTGACATTTGAGAGGAGCAGTGGAAGTAGCAATAATGGTTGTGATATTGGGTGACTTAGGATCATTAATACAGGCTCAGTGCCCCTTAGCTGAAAATGAAAGAGCAAGCAATCAATCACAATTCAAATCTAAGTGTGAAAGACAGAGGGCCTCCCTGTCAGTATCTCAGGTAGCTGGGAAGCTAGCCATGCTAATGGCCAGGCTCCGAATATAATCATAAAAGAAGAGTAGAACTTCAGTAAAGGATGAATTCTCAGCCCCAGCAAGTCTTCTATCAAAAGACAGGGCATTATGGAATGAGTAGTGCCTTTAGACCTCACATGAAAATATATGAATAGATGTACTATAGAACCTTGAACCCCAGAATCCCCTTCACCCAAAAAGCCTATATAATTGGCCCACTTTCCTTTGTTGTAAGATAGTGCCCTTGTTACTTAAAGACCATGAGAAGGAATCAGATGTTTCAAATACCTTATAAGGCCATAATTGTTCACCTCAAGACCTGCTCACACCTCCCCTCCAAGCATCAGACAAATACCTGGAGTCATACCTCAGCATGAACTAAGCATGAGCCAGATATGCTAGGGGAAAAGAGACCTCGCATGCAGGATCTGGGGGACCCTAGCATATGTTAGAAGCCAGGAGAGTGTGCCTGGCGAGAAGTGGATCTTTAAGCTGGATAATGGAGTTTGTCAGCATGGGCACCCTCTTTCATAATGCCTTGGTAAGAGACCCAGGAGTCAGTTTTGATATGTGTATGTAATGCTTTTGGAAATGTAAGAAAAATTGTGGTTAATGTTAAATGGTGGAGAGATGCCAGAACTGCCATGGCAGGCTAAGAAAGTGATCCAAGGCTCAGAGAAGTGGACAGAGTGATCCATTTTATAAAGCCAAGAAGACCCACTAGCTATTTTCTTCATGAGAAGCCTGAGGATGTACCATTTACCAAAGCAATAAGGAATGTATCAGTGGCAGGGACCAAGATTACAGAGAAACTCAATTGTGACTGGCTCTCTGCATGTTATGGCTGCCTAGTAACAGTGGGGTTTATAGAATGCCTGGAGAGCAGAGCTAAGTGGCAGTACTTAACCTTCAAAATTATTGGAGGACCAGGACTAGGGTGATGCAAGAGATATGCCTAAGATGCAAAGTGAAAGAAAGACTCATTCTCAGAGTTGTGCAAGTACTTACTCTGAGAGTGAGTGTCTCCTTAAGAATGAAGCATGTAGGGCAGCAATGTTGGGATGCAGCCCTGGGAGAGGACATTCAGACCTGTAGGAGCATATGAAGAGGGTTATAGAAGACGGTGTTTCTTAGGGTAAGGGTCAGCTAACATGGGTATTGTTTGATATATAATCAAAAGGCGCCAAGAATAAACCATCCAAAAACTGAAGCCAGCCACTCCAGTAGCAAGTCATGATCTCTTGCCCAGTTACTTCTTTTTTCTTGGCAATGTTCTCACCAGTTCTCAGACAGAAAGCGAGGACAGATCCTTATGAGGAAGGACCGTGCAACACCACATTAAGTTTACATGGGAGTAATTCTCTAGTTTTGCCCCAAAGGAATCTTCAGTAATTTACCTCAGTAATTGTGTCCTAGAATCCTTAGAGATTTGTTAGATCTGAGCCCCAGGAACATAACCCCAGTTAAAACAGGAGATACAGGGGAAAAACAATCATGTTTACTTCCCATGGTGTTTACTTCTCATGGTGATCCACTGGGTTTATGGACCAAGTGAGTGGTCATTTTTGTAGTGCTCAAATATATAGCATTTTGTAGGACACTCATATTAGTTCTCTGGACATTGGAGTGAGAGCTATCAAAATAATAAAACCTATGTATAAAAAAGCCTACAAATAATAGCACTGAATGCTTTTGCCTTACAATTAAGAATCAAAGCAGAGGTATATACTGTCATCATTTCTATTCAGCAATATATTGGCATAATGAAGGTCCCAACTAATGCAGTATAGCAAGAAAAATAAGTAAAAGGCATATAGTTTGGAAGGGTAGAAACAAAACTGTGTTTATTTGCAGACAACATAATTATTTATTTGGTAAATTCCAAAGAATTTATAGAAAACCTACTCACACTCATAATCAATTTAATAAGATCATAATGTAAATTATCAATATATAAAAATTAATTGTATTTTTAAATTCTGGAATGAAAAATTAAAAATTGAAATTTTGAAAGTATGACAATCTCAAAGGCAATATGCTGGGTGACAAAAGTCATCTTCAAAGACCACACATTTTAAGATACCACGTGTAAAACGTTGTCACAGTGACCAAATAATAGAAATGGGGAAGAGATTAGTACTTACCAGTGTTAGGAATGGTAGGCTGGGGAGAAGGATGAATGGAATATAAAGTGGTACTTCAATAGAGGTCTTTGTGGTTATGGAACAATTCTGTATCTTGATTATTGTTATTACACTGTAATAAAATAGCACAGAACTATATACACACATTGAACTGATATCAATTTCCTGATATTATTATAGTTATGTAAAATATAGCCATAGAGAGAAACTAGGTGAAAGATACATGAGACCTTTCTGTGCTATCATTGTGACTTTCTGTGAAATCTATAATTATTTTGAAGTAAATTGTTTTAAAAACAACACAAGCTCTATACAGTGCATGATAGCTGAAAATTGCAAAGCATTCATGAAAGAAGACAAAACAAAATTTTAAAAAATAACCTAAATGAATGGAATGACATACTGTTTATGGATTGGGAGGCTCAACATTATTATTAAGATATCAATTCTCTTAAAATTGATCTAGAGAGTCAAAGCATTCCAAAACAAACCTCAGCAGATGCTTTATAGAAATTGATGAGCTCTTTCTAAAATGTAGAATGTGGATAAGCCAAGGGACTAGAAGAGCCAAAACAACTTTGCAAA